TCAGATTGGCAATGGTGTCTTGCTCCAAACAGCTATTTAATTCACAATAATGTTCTACAACGGCGGAGGATCTTTTACGACAAATCTTTTGCGGAAACCCGCGGTGATAGTGATTCTTAAGCGATTCGCGAATGTTTCGGGACTTGTTCAACTTGCACTGTATCCAAAATTTACTCAAGTTTGCTCAACGTCTGAAGGAAACGTTTCTCATTCATCGATCCGATCGAACTCCGAGAGATAAATTTTCCAGTCTCTCCGAGGTCTGGGGCGTGTAGATGTCGCGATTTAAAGTCTTTCCTGATTTAGATTACGTTCGCACGAAATGAACAAATTCGCGATTCATCGGTCCCGCGCAAATCGCGCTCGTTTCCACTTAATCTCGTTCCCTTTGTGTGTTTTTTTTTTTTTTTTTTCCTTTTTCCAATGACGGCAAAACTTGCGGATAATGCCGCGATACAAAGAACGCCAATTGCAATCCGCTCCGTTCAGCCTCGTCCGTCCTTTTCCCGTGGCTCCGTGTAACCATCACACCGATCACGAGACCCCTCTCGTGCCTTTCGATTTTCTAGCTTCCCGTGTATGTGTGTACCCGACCTAACTCGAGGCCGTCGAGCGTTGTTGCAAATGGTTTGAAGGCCGATGAACCGAAGCTATTTACCTGGTCTCGGGACTTGGCTCGTACAAAAAAAGAGAAAAAAAAAGAGAGAGAGAGAAACGAACGGCTCTGGGTTGCAGCTGGAGGGTTGCGTGTATGCATGGAACAGATAGCTGTCGATCGTCGAAACTACTGGCTAGTAGCGGTGAATGCTGGCACGAACAGTCGTGACGAACTTTATGAAATGAATCTGTTCCTTTTCCCTGTTATTTTTCCCCTTCCCGCTTCCCTGTCCCCCCGCTTACCCGCTTTGCCTGCTTCTTTCAAGAGCCAGAGAACCGGAATATATCGGGGGTCGAACTTTATCGGAGCGTACCCGCGCGAAATGCATGAAATCGCGGTAAATTGTTAATGCTCTCTAATGTATGCCAATATCATTCGCGGCACTTTTTTATCGAGGACGTTCGGTTAAAAATGAAAACGAAGACGAAGGTTCTATCGATCGACTAGCCACTGACCTAATAATCGAAACGTTAACTATCGGAAGAGAGCGCCCGCTCTCCTCTCTCGTACCCGGCCGTTTTCGTGCCGCCCTGCCTTTAGGGATTCCGATTGTTTCGAGCCAACTGCCCGGAAAGAAATCGATCGACGACGAAGCAGAGCTTGGAAGAATTAACACGAACCGCGTTGCGTTGTTTCGGTGTAAATAACCCTTTCGACCCTACGGATTTCGAAATTTTCTCATAGCGAACGCGTTAATCGGAGTGGAATCTCCGAGGGGATTCGTCTGGCTCGTCCGGTTCCGTTGAGGAACGAGTGTCGCTCGTTTGGAGCGCTCGGTTCCAAGTTTAAACGTAAATCGATACTAATTCATCGTGGACGCGGACGGTTGACGCGCGCGTAAATACCATCGGCATCAGGCTGCGCGCACATTATCATCCTTGGAGCCAACCACCCGCCACCCGCCACCCTCCCTCGTCGAATCTCGTGGGAGCCTCCCGATGGGAATTTAATTTTCGTCGTCAAAGGAAACGGCCGGTTACGCGAGTTTTAGCATGCGGCGGAAATAAAGGTGCAACCGGCGCACAGGGGGTGCAGCGTGGTGTGAAACGTTGGGAGAAATGACGACTGCGGGGGCCTGCGAGAAGAGGGTTGGGTGGGTGTGGCAAGGCGTATGGCAGGATGAGTACGAGGACGAGGTACGAGAGGGTGGGATATTCAAAAAGAATGAAATAACGGATTGGGTTGCGGCCAACTGGCCGGCTTCCAACCAATCCTTAGTCGCCTGGATGCGGGAGTATATTATGTATACCATTCACCCTGCCCCGTGGAATCGTCCCGATGCGTCCCATTCAAAATCATGTTTGCGCCTGTGTGCCTGTGTGTCTTGAGACACACACCGGTAATAATCGAGAACGAGCGTGGGGCGGAGGAGGGAGAGGGTCGCTGCTTCTTTCGGCCAACGATTTCGCCCGTGTTCATTAACGATACTCGAGCGACTCTCTCCGCAGGGGTCGCCCGCTCCTCCGGGCGCGAATTTTCCGTACGAATTCCTCGCAATTACAAGAATAAATAGAGGCAGGCACGCGAGCGTATTCTTTCGAGAAATTCTCTCCTTTCCGGATCACGGACAATGAGGACCTATTCAGGGGGTATTCTGGTAATCCAACTTGAAAAACGTCGACTTTCTTGGGGATTTTTTTTTTATCAAGGAAACCATGATACATTTTGGTGCGCAGTTTTTTTTCGCGCACAGATTTATTCGTACTTAAAGAGTATTTACAATTTTTTCTTTTTTTAACGAAATTAATGAAAGTTGTGGAGATTATATAGCATACCTTAGGTAAAGCACGTTTTTAAAAAAACGTTTTAAAGAATGGCTGACGTGATTCCGGTCCACCTGGTTATTTGAAACCAAAAAACCAGAATGCATCTTAATTAGTATAAATGTGGCTGTCGCATGAATCACGAAAACAGCGAAATTTCGGAAATTAGAAAAATGGCAGTTCGAAAATGGTCAAATCGATTGATAATTTTTGTTGGAACAGTGTATCTTTGAAACTGTTCCCGATGGGAATCTTACTTTTAGCAGAATCTTACTTCAGTAGTATCTTTTTTACTTTAGAAACTGTTCCCGATGGAAATTCTACGCCTTGGTCGCTTCCGGAATTGTTGAATGAGAAACGCGTTCCGAAGAAATATTCCAATCACTTTTGTGGACGTTCCGATCAATCAAACGTCGATATATTTACTTTCGACATTGTATTAGATACAGCTATAGCTCGAGGTCCACTCGAAGGGAACGCGAGGCTCTGAGAGTAGAGAGCGGAAAGATAGCGAACGAGCAATCTATCTTTTCCTCTGACTTTCCGATAATTCCCGATTTGCTGCCACTGTGGTTAAATGAAGCAAGCTGAAAGGGCGAAGAAGGAGGAGATCAAACATGCAAGTTAGATGGTTCTCACTTCAACACGCTTACACCGTACTCTCTAATGACTGCTCTGGCCTGAAGTTTTAAATTACCCCCGGATAAAGTGGCGGAGAGAATTTGCCAATATTCGACTCCCTAACAAGAATTTCAATTGTATCTGTAGGCACGCCTACGTGCACTCTGACTTCTTTTTTTTTTTTTTTTTTTTCTAACAGAGATAAACTTCTTCGCGTATAATTACAAGAGGAAAATTGGTTTTTCCAAGAAACATGAATCTTGTCACGAGCCTTGATACCAAATGATACGAGCGAGAAAGTAAAGAGAGAGAGAGAGAGAGAGAGAGAGAGAGAGATTCAGATAAGAAAAAGCCTCGGTGGAAGTTTCGAAAAGCCGTTTGTCGATAGGCGAGTGTCGTTTCGTGATTCCATCTATCCGACACGTCGCTGGAAGCTGGAAACACACCGGCCAGAAACACGCAACCGTGTCGAGAGAATGGCAGGGAATCGATTTCAAATAGTAACGAGCCTCGCAACGGAGTTTAACGTTGCGAGGTTGACGTTGCAATATTATTGCAATTGCAATTGGGCGTTGACCTCGCCACGTCGCGACAAAGGAACTCGCTGGAACTTTCTGCGATTAATCTTCGCAGATTCGTCTCGCGCGAGATGCAGAGAAATCGAAATGATCCGCTGTACGTTGAAATCTATCAGAATTTATCTTGCATTTTCAAAGTCCAGCTTCTGTTTTTTTTTTTTTTCATTTTTTGCCTGTAAAAGCAAATGGAAGAGCAGAGAGGCCACATTTCCCCAAATGGTTCTCTGTTATCTTGAAATTATCGTCCACACGTGAATTCCTTTGTCCGAGATCAACTAACGCGAACGACGTACGAAAAAAAAATTTTCCCCCCCGTATATTCCGCTCTACCTTCGCCAAGTTTTTAATTGCGTACAACGTTCTGTACTTTCTGCACTTCTTGTCCATGCGCTGATAATAAATTTGCTACTTTGGACAATTACGATTTACCTTCGTGCAGGGACGAGGAATAAATCAGACGTCTGTCCGGCGATTAAAATTTATCGTTTCAATATGGAGGGATAAGTAGGCAAGGAGATTTATTAATTTATAATGCGTGATGGACAGCGATGTAAAAGGTAACTCCAATTCGCGTTGAATATTTCAGTGCGTTCAGCCCGTTTCGCGGAAGGGAGATGATTCTTCAGGGAGAGTCTGTTGCTATTCCGATGATTGAGTTACCCTCGATTCTTTCCCGACTGAATGAAATAAACGCGAATAAATGTCCCTGTATTTAATAAAACGCGTAGGACTGCAATGAGTAGAGCTTTAATTAAGAATTAAAATTATTATTCACCGCGCTCGCCTCTGTTTTATTGTTGTAAATTTCATTCGGCTTCGCGCGAGTGACATCGTGTGCACGACCTTTTTAATTAAATTGAAATTGAACGCTACTTGGTACAAGCGTCTGCATTTTATATGAATACCGTTTGATCCTACGCACTGTTCTTATTCACGTAAGAAGCGTTGCGCGTAATCTCAACGTCACTGAAGGAACAACGAACTCAATGCGCTTTAGATTACAACGAACGGAACGAATCGATCGCAGTGGCGAAACGAAATTGCCAACTACATCCAGCTAGATCCAGTCCGGGTAATTCAATATTTTAATTTTAGGATACACCTGCGCCGTGAACAAAGGATCGTTAGAGACAAAAGAGTTGAAAACCTTCGTGTCTTGCCGAAAAACTGGACCGGTTAAACACGGTAGAAACACAAATTTTGTGCAGATTTTTAATAAACCGCGCGATTCGTTGATTAATAAACAACAATTTCCGCTTCTTCTTCGCTTTCGACTACGATAAATCAAACGAGATGTTGCGCGAACTTGAAACTTTTAGAAAATCTCTTTGGCAGAAGGCCTCTTGTTTAAAAGGTTCGATCGTAACCCGTTTAACGCTAATGATTGCCGGTTACAGTGCGGACGAAGGGTTCGACGGCACTTACCCAACGAACGTCGTCGTGAAGAACAATGGGACCTGCTTATACGTACCGCCCGGAATATTCAAAAGCACTTGTAAGATAGACATTACCTGGTTCCCCTTTGACGATCAGCGCTGCGAGATGAAATTCGGCTCTTGGACGTACGACGGCTTTCAGGTAAGGAACACCACACCATGATAAACAACGGGTCTCGGTGAATCTAATGTTTTTTTTCTTCGTTTGCTCTGCCTTTCGAAATTCCTTCGATTTCAAGAGAAATGTTCCACGTACTCCATATTGTCTAGTTCTAATTTCCTTTCAACGCCAGTCGATTTATTAAAAATTAATATATCCCGTAGCATTTTAATGTGATTTATTTATTTATTTTTTTAATTTTTCACCTACCCCGCAAAGTTACTTTTATCGGAGACTGCACGTACGATGTACAAATGTGTAATATACAACGAACGGACGGCGTTGTTTGTTAACAGTGAAATGAAATATAAATTGAACGATGAGTAATGCGTGTCGCTACATATAAAGTGTGAACTTTTACAAAATTTGTTCGGAAAGACCTGGGACACCCTGTACACGAAATGATTGAAGTTTAACCTCTTGTGCTGGAATTTTTTTTTGTTCCAAAACTGTAATATTCTCTCAGTTTTTTTAAGTAAAACAAAATAGGCAAAATAAATAATAAATTTATTACTTCTCAATAATTTCCATCCAGTGATATCGTATCGACGAGTTCAAAAAGAAAGCGACGAATTATTGCATACGGTTTGGTCGCTCGTTATGGTCCGCAATCGGTTGCCAGCGCAAGTGCTTAAAGAATCGAAACGTGATGTTTGGAAGGGAGAGGGAAGGTGATCATTTCGAAGAATTAAAATTGATGGATGACTGACAGTTGCGTCAAAATTTGACAATGCACGAGGATTTGTTAGGCAGAAAGAAACAGAATGAGCAGTCGACTTTCTCTTCTCTTTGTAAAGTGCGCACACATGTTAAATGTTAATTTTTAACAGAGCGTCGTCGCATTCTCGAATTGCATTTCCCTGAGACGAGAACTGTTGCGCACTGCGGTCGTAATAACTTTCCTCTAATCGATGGTAATAAATTTCCAACAGTTGGACCTGCAACTGCAAGACGAGGCCGGTGGTGACATCAGCAGTTTCATCACCAACGGCGAGTGGGATCTGTTAGGTGAGTTTTTACAACCCTTATCAGAATTCGTTTCGTCGCACACGGGCGAGCAAACTGCTCGCCCGTGAAAGGCAGTTCCACGGCGATTAGCAATTCTAAAATCCCTAGGCAAGTTCTAGGACATAAAGGAGACCGCGATCAATCGTTTTCATAGGTCGAGACCAGCTGCATCTTACTGCCGGCGAGCTTTATCTAATCCAGATTTTCATCAGTGCTGCACGTGGTTCGAACCTTTTCGAGAGTCTCTCCCCTCCCCCTCTCCGGGTGAAAATTAATTCCCCGAGTCCTTGTTCTTGCTAAAATTTAATTATTCCAATCGCGACCGACTCGAACGAGGATCTCGCTCGAATTACTCCTGAAATTACTTACCGTCGGGTTCATCGTCGATTTTTCAACGCGTTTCATGATGGCGTGTGACGATCAGATGATGCTCTTTTGCAATACGGATTGAAAACCGAACGAAAAATATATTTATATATTTTGAATTTTTGCGAGCGTGACTTTTACTTTACAATCTTTGCGTCTTGCAGACTCATGATTTTCGGTCACACGCGACATTTCATCGATATTTCATCTATTTCCGTGAAGAAATCCGAGAAACGCAAAGTCACGCTCCGCGAGCACATATCGGTACGTACATACACGCCACGCACTCGCGAGCTTATAAAACACAGGCAGAAAGCTTAAAGTATCTCAAGTGATTCGAGCCAGTACAGAATGGAGACTGTGACTGAAGGGACACTCGAAAATGAAATCGAAGAACTCCTTTCCCGCTTGTTGCTCGAAATAATTCAACTGTACGGTGGCATGCACATCGCGTAAAATAGTCGAGTCGTCGCTATCGGGCCAAGCTTTTTATTCCCACGAGCCTTTTCCTTTCCTACGCGAATCCGTCGTCTCTGAATACTTGCCACTTTCACGCTGGTTGCACCATCATCGTCGCATCGACGCTAGCTCTGACGAATCGTTTTTCTTTCGCACATGCAGCAAATTGTTTCGACATATTCGTGAGGGTAGTCTACGAATGAAATTTTGAAAGTGCAATTATCAATTACTCTGCTCGCGTGCCTTTCACGCAGATGTACACTCTGTTTTTTTTCTCTTCTCTTTCGTTTTACAGGTGTGCCCGGTAAAAGGAACGAAATTTATTACAATTGCTGCCCAGAACCGTACATAGATATAACGTTCGTGGTTATCATCAGAAGGCGGACGCTTTATTACTTCTTCAACCTGATCGTGCCGTGTGTCCTGATTGCCAGCATGGCCGTTCTGGGATTCACCTTGCCACCGGATTCCGGCGAGAAACTTTCTCTAGGCAAGTTGGATTGGATAAAACTTCTGCATGCCGGAGGATCAAACAGCAAGATTCTCGGACGTAAAGCAGCTGAACGCACCGAAAATTTTCATTTGTTTTCTGACAATCCTATAATTGTTCTTCTTATTAATTCTCGATCGTCGAACGTGATTAGTAAGAAATCTGACCGGTTATTCTGCGGCGCCGATTGTAGGATCGTGCCGGTGCGTTCCTCGAGTCATTGCATTATTTCGTTACGAGTCCTTGCCGAGATTCCGCTGGCCGCAGACCACTCTCCCCTGGCAAGTTCAAATCGTCCGCTAACATAATTGCAATTCCTAGCAGGCTTTGGAGCACGCTACAACAGCTCACGTGATTAGATTCAGTCGAGTTCTCGCAGCGTATTGAATTGTACGAGAGATTACAGTCGTGTCGATGTCGATCGCAGACATTCATAGGCCAGTGAAATATACTGGAATTTATCGATCGCCGAGCTTTTGTTCCGCCATCGCGGAAACCAAATCATTTTATAAACATAGTCGGCGCCCACCCGTGTTCGAGAATATTCTGGATAAGTTAAAGATTCATTTTGCGCTAATTAACAAGCGGAAGTGTAGCTACAAGTTACTCACGGGAATTAACTATTGGATCGGAGATTGTACATCCATAGCTAAAAGTTCGTTCCTTAATCGCGTAAAATCCCTTTCGACGCATCGCCTGTGAATAGCGAGTCGATTCGATCTTTCGACTTTCTGTGTTCCATTTACGAGGGTTCAAATGTTTGTCGAGGAAAGAAAAGATATAAAAATAAAGACGAACACGCACATTTCGTACATTAGAATTAATTGTTCAATTTACTAAGCATCTAGCGTCACGATAATAGACAAGTTGCAAAAGTAGAAAAGTAGAAAAATATCTACTTCGCAATACCTCTCGAACATCGATAATAACTGTTAACGTTCCAGCCTTCAGTTGTGGATTAATCTCGTTTGGCTACCGAGTTACTTTATGCTGATAATTAATTGCTCGAACGAATCTCGTTTGCAGGGGTAACCATTCTTTTGTCCCTTACTGTGTTCCTGAATATGGTGGCCGAGACAATGCCAGCGACTTCGGACGCCGTGCCTCTTCTGGGTAAGTCCGTTAATTTTGCTTTTATCGGTTTTTATCCGTCAGAGTCTGGTTTTTTCTGAGGAGATAAATAATGGCGCGAAACCTTGATTGTCTTGAATCAATTTTGATGCCCAAGAAACTAAGATATTCGTCACAGAGAATATTCGTCTCGTAAACCTGTTTGCGCAAGATCGAAGGGCTTGGATCACACCTATATCTGATCGGTACTTTGTATTCGTGATATAAACAGTGATGCTTATTGTGTACAGTCCTTTATCCTCGACTGAAGATATTATTGCATCCAGAACTATTCTACTGGTACAGTAGTAACAGATCGTACAGATCAGACGCGGAGTTGGAATAACAAACGTCCATTGACATCTTGATTAGGAATACCTGAGAAGAGCGTTTCGAAGTTATGGTTGATATTTCAATCGAGAGATCACAATATCGAGCACAATTCACAATTTTGACGTAACATAGAATATAAACGTTGCTTACAACGATGCCCAATTTCTGAGTTCACTAGACTGTTTTAGACATGTCACGTTGGCTATGTTTTCTTGAACTTTTAAATATTTTCACAGGGACGTACTTCAACTGTATTATGTTTATGGTGGCCAGCAGTGTTGTCAGCACCATTCTTATTTTAAATTATCATCATCGGAACTCTGACACTCACGAAATGTCCGAATGGGTAAGCAAATCATTCTAAAAAATAATTACCAAGGTATCTTGCTAAGAAACCTGTTATTAAACTTTCGAGGCATACTACTTGGCATCATGTTATATTTTACGTTGACAATACCTCGTGATTTAGCATTTAATTCTTTTTCTTCCAGAAATGATCGTAGAAAAATATTTGTACGTTGTAAGTTTCAATATTTCGTATTATCTGTCGAGTCAGAAAAAAATCGAAGAACTTGCCTCGTCGGAAATATCCGCATTTCAAGTTTACCTTGGCCGTTAACGGGATTCATCCTTTCGAGTGATACTAAGCTTCCACGTTTTGTTATTTACCGCAACCTTGCAGGAAGTTGCGAGATAACGATCACAAGTTGTCGCGAATGATGATTTCCCATCAGCTCGTTAATCAGGATTAATATTTAATATTTCTAAACAATCGTAAAATACAAAAATTCGATAAGAATTGTCAAAGTTCGATCAAAATTACATTCAATTGTATTTCATCGTTATATCATTTATCGTGTATTTCAAACTTTCAGGTGAAAGTGGTATTCCTTTATTGGCTGCCTTGTATACTTCGTATGTCACGACCAACCGATAAAGAAGAGAGGGAGGCGCAAAAGTCTCAAAAACCGTCTCCAGTCACCGGTAATTTAGTGACACGAAAAAGCATCGACACAAGTACTGACAACATTTACTACTATCTACGTGTTTATCAATGTTTCTCTGTGTCATATAATTCACCGATCTCACTATTAAAGTGTGGGCACAAAGCACTTCAAAGCACACCTGACTTACTTAGTATCAATTAATGTATGTGGATACATCACTTGATACGCAAATAGTTGTTTCAAAAAGTAAAATGTTGCCAGAAATTATCTACTGCCCATTTCTCCTTTCTTTTATTTACTCTCCCAACCTTCAGTTTCATCATATACATTTATTAGAACATATATATAATTTTATTAAATTACTTATTCATTTTTCTATATAAAATCAAAGAATTCTTTAAAAAAAATCAATCCTCTAAGTGATGTACATACACTATATTATTGCCTTTTACAAGCTTTTCCTTGTCAAATTGTTTATTTCCCGTGTATCTAGAAAAGTCAACTCTCCTAGTTGTTGTCTTCTTGTTCTTTCCCCATTTTATGGTTACATCTCATTGCGAGTACGAGGAAAATTTCAGTTTCCAGACAGTTGCCCCTACTTAATAACGTGATAATTTGTCGAAACAGGTGCTAGCAAAAGTCACGGTGACCTGGAGCTTCGTCAGAGGAGCAGCAAGTCCCTCCTAGCGAATGTCCTGGATCTCGAGGACAACGCTCTGGCGTCACACAATAATCTCCTGAATAACGTGTACAGTACCCCTGGTCCTCACCATCATACGATGGGTCACGGGCACAGTCACATTCACACGACGCCTCATCATCATCACAGCCACGCTGCAACGCCGCATCATCAACACTCGACGCCATTGGCACACTCCTCTTATCCGGCGGCGCTTCAGATTGGTCACACGCCGCATCATCATCCGCATCCACCAGATACGCCAGGCCCTCAGGTCGAAACGATACTGCAAAACGCGTGTTTCTGTGCCCGAAACGAACTCATTATGATCCTCAAAGAAATTAAGGTACACTCTCCCCTTCTATCAGTCGTAGTATGACATTTTCAGGCGCTTGCTACGCATTCCAACGATCCAATTTTCTTTCAAAGTTGTACTTTGCCGCGCTTATCGATGCTTTTAGTTTAAAGCGCGGAGTTTAAAACGAATTAGAAGCTCGCCACGCGTGCCGCTAATTCGGGTCTCTCTTTTATTAAAACAAGAGCGTCTACTTACTGCACTCTCAAGCACCGTCAACGTTTGCAAACTCGGGAGCCTTTTATTTGCTGCATTTTATTTTCAATAGAAAGAAGTGCCGCACGGTTAATAACAACGAGAATGACAATTAACGGGGGTCCTCGTGAAATATACACGACGGCTAATTACCAAGTGTACACTCATTTTCATTTGCCCGTAAGTGCAGAAACTTTTCGTGTAAAGTCGCGCGTGTAGTGTATGTATAATACCGGAACTCGTACGAGGCGAGGTCTGCTGACGAACGTGAAACCATTCTCTGTTGTATGACTGTTTGTGCAGGATTATTAAAGCCCGTCTATTTCTCGAGTCTCAGAACTAACACGAGAAAGTTCAACACTCGAAACCTATCGGTGTTCGTAATTATGAACCGAATATTTGATGGAAACTTCAGTTCGATTGCGGCCCCGTGATTCACATAATTCTAGACAATCGCGCGTGGCCATTCGTGTGTTTCGTCGACAAGTTTCTATTCTTTATTTTGTTCCTCGAGAGAAACGTTAAGGAATACTTCTTTTCAAATTGATTGATCTTTTAGCGCTCGTAGGATTTATGATGCATGTATATTCGATTTGAGACGTGATTACTCGTACCTGCACCAAGTAAATAAATTGGTCTCAGATGAGAGATTACGAAGTCACAGAGCGATCAAAGTTGAGGAGAGAGACTGCGTTATGGGATAAATTAGGACTTTGAATGTATGTTGTGTTATCGTGCTTTATATTAATGCATTCAACGGGATAACGAGTGTGACCGACGTAATTTCGAAACGGATCCGCGAAGTTTTCAATTGTACGCTAATATTTCAGGGAGCAAGCGCAGGGAGAAAAAGATGCGACTTTGAAGGTTGATGCATTAATAATTTGTTTTCGTTTTAAAGCACAAGTTCGTCATCTATGAAATATTCATAGATGAACGTCTTTTATTTATCGAGGGACGTTGCAACGTGCGAATTCATTTTTACGTAATTTATTATCAGTCTCGCGTTTGTTAATCTCTGCAAAGATATCAACACGGACCGATTCGAATTTCTAATTCGTTCGCCACCAAGAGAGATTAATCGTTGAAAATTCAAATCGATTTGATACTGGTCACCGAATGGTAAATAATAATCATCGATTGCCAACAGATTAAAACCCCTGATTTGACCCACATTCGTTGAAAACCTCCCTCGAACCACAATCAATTTTTGTAGATGAATTTGTATTCCTCGAGAAGGAGGTGCAATCGTATATCAACGCACGACTCCCTGTTTCAGATAATCACGGATCAGCTGAAGAGCGAGGAGGTGAACACAAAAGTGACGAACGACTGGAAGTTCGCGGCGATGGTGATCGACAGAATGTGCCTAATCATTTTTACTCTGTTCACCATCATCGCAACCATCACCGTCCTACTGTCGGCGCCGCACATCATCGTCACGTGATTTAAAAAAGTACAGACAGCCGACTCAAAACATCGGCGGTCGACGAGGATCGTGCGTTGCGCATCGGTGCGGACGGCGAGGAACGCGAACACGACCACGACGACGATGACTACTACGATGACGACGATGACGACGACGACGACAATGACGATGACGACTATCACGACTTGTTCCATGCTAGGATTACGCGAACAACGTTCACAACGATGTTTCTCCTACGCTTGGATGTCCAACTGATCGGAAGTCGAGCCTCAGAGTCGTGTGTTACGCCTGGTTTCGAGTTTCGGGTGATCCGCACCGTTCATAGGAAGAAAACGATACGAGGACACTAGGCTCTTCCTATTATCTACGATATACGCGCTACATGTATATATCTACGTATTTATATATCGTACATATATATATATATATACGTACCTATATATACATCTCGTCAGGTGGTTCATTCGAAGTGGACGCCTTAGCGAGAGACACGTTGAAAATGCGCCTACACAGGCGCGTTAAAGGGACACTGACATGCGTGCGTGCGCGCGCGCGCGGCGCTCCTACACGTACACGCGAACCGCATACGAACACGTTGGCCACGCCGAGGTATGTGCATCCCTGGCATTTGTTGTACAACGATAGGAGTGGAACGCGGACATTCGAGAGCTTCGAGTTCCTTTCGGTTCGAGTTGACGCGATTTTTCGCGGGGAAAAAAAATTGTGTATTTTTGCGACGCGGCGACGGGGGTAAACCCGCCGCGCCGCGCCGCGCCGGCGCAGCGAATGCAGTCTACATTTTCTCTCATATTTTTGTCCTTAGTTTTGTAATTTTCATCCAACCTTGGATTCATGTTCGATTCGTACATATACTATATATATACGTATATTCAATTTTCCCTATTATTAAAGATTACCGTCTTCGGTTAAGCTGTCGTTATTTCGATATCCATTTCTTGCCGCTCTGAAAGTAGAATGGCCCACAAAATGGACGAAAAAAAAACCAAGAAGAAAAATTGTCCCTAGTTCGAGTACCAATTTCAAGCGAAAGAGATTGCCATTTATTTCATCGCATCGTCGAAACGGTTCTGTTCTTTGACACAACTGTTTTTCTCAAAATCGCGCGACGAACTGTTTGAGGGTAAAATTTGAATGAAAACGCGCTCGTCTTTGAAACACGCTTCAGCAATCGTTGCATGGGATGCAAATAAATCTGCGTATACGCGCGTGAAACGAACATGCTTACACATACACGCACATGTACACGCAATACATACGCAAGAGACAGAATATAAAAACATAGAGCACCGTCAAAGCGTTTGAATTTGTTAAAGAGTAAATCGAGTTGCCCGGTACGGTCCACGACCACGAAACGATTTTTCGTTTGATTCTCGTATGACCGTACCGGAATGTCATGGAAATACGAGTGACAGGGAGAGAAAGAGAGAGTGAGAGAGGGAAATTGAGAAAAAGAGAGTGAGAGTGAGAGAGAGGGGGGAGGGAGAGAGAGAGAGAGAGAGAGAGAAACACAAATGAAAGAAATAAAGGCTAAAGAAGGGTGTACTGCTCCTTTTGTTGTAATTGAAAGAGAGAGAGAAAGAACGAGATAAGGTAAAAAGAAGGAAATAGACGAACGAGAATACACGATTAAAAGCAAAGCGCACACGTTAATATTCTGAAAAACTAAAAAACCAACAAAAAAAGGTAAAAAAAAAAAAGAGAATAATAAGTAAAAATAATAACTACACACAATGAACTGCCAAGATGTTTCAAAACAATGCCAGTGAATTTTATTATCCGTATCACTAGTAAGTAAAATCGACGACAACTTAAATAAAACGGGGGATTTATACTATGATTATAAGGTGGCGTGCGACAGCGCGGCGTTTAAAGCAAAAGAAAAAAAATAAAATAAAATACTGTTCTTTGTTAGCTCCTAAGAGAAATCCGGCGTAAGCGGAAAGGGAGAGAGAAAGAAAGAGAAAGAGAGAAAGGGAGAGAGTGAGCGAGAGGAAGAGAGAGAGAGAGAGAGAGAAAGAATGATAACATTGCGGGCATATGAATGACATCAGATAAAGTAATGACGATGATGACGATTGACTTTTACAATTAGCGCAGCATCTTTCTTCATTTTTCGCGTTTCTTTCCCTTTTTATCAGCGGACATCGTTGTCCCTCTTGTCTACACGCTTGTACAAGCGCGTGCACACACACACACACACATATACACACACGCTCTCTCTCACCAATACATCGACACTTACACACACATCACACGCGTTGAATCTTACACAACCACCCTCACACGTCTTACACATCTTACTAACGTTAACACGAGACGAACATACGTTCACAAGCAAAAACTTTTTCGATCTAACGTTCCAGAGGGTCAGGATTTTGCATCGTCGAGACTCTCGCGAGACTTGTTCGTTGAACTTGAGTTTCGCCAGCCCGGGAAGCCAAGCGTTCTCCTGTCAGAATCGGATCCGCGACTCGCGACACACGATTCGAAAGCAACTCCAAGCTGGTTGGTTAACTTGTACGTTAATTTCTTTTTTTTTTTTTTTTTTTTTTAAGCCGAGTCGCCCTCGAAAGAAGCGAATCCGGTTCCAGGTGCTGTTTTCTTCCGTTCAGAACTGAACGCGGAGTCTCCTCGAACGATCGCGCAATCGTCTGATCCTTGAAAATAATCTCTTGCTCTTCGACCGCACGCTATTCGCCCTAAATGGCCAAAGCAACACAACATTTGCAGTTTCGTCTGTGAAGGTACCTACCCCCACGTCGGATTATCCGTCAACGGACGCACGACAGTTCCGATCTGATTTTTGCTGTTTTTCGCTGCAAAGTGGAATTCCTTTCCTACAAAAATATAACATTGCGATAATAATAACGTTCGGAGAAATTGACAGTTGAGAAGAATAATTGAAAAATTATTGTTGTCCAATGCGTATCGAAACCTACGATATGATCAAGGGAAAGATATTTTGGTTCTATCTATCTATATATATATATATATATATATATATATAAACGAACGAATTAATCTCGTTAATTGCATTAATATGCGTTAATTAGGAATTGCGCTTGATGAAATTTCCTATCGAACGTCGCGCTTCGTTTCATTTCGTAGCGAATTCGTTTGTTTCCGAAACGATAGGATGACGAAACCTGATTTTACCAATGCCTGGTACATATTTTTCGGAACTGAAGCTATTTCGCCAGTAACTGACCAATAAGTTGGCTAATAAACGCGCGTTCGTCGTTCGTCCGTGGTCCGAGCGTCTCGTCGGCGAATTTCCCCGCTGGCCTCGAGTCTAGAAACAGGAAACATTTTAGTCAATATATATACGAATGCTCAGTACTTGATACGATATTCCATTTAATACTTCAACTCGGTGGCAAGGCTCGGGATTCGAGATTCGTGGACGCTCAGACAAACGAACGAACGAACGAATGTTTGCTGGGAAACAGGATTTCCTTTGCGAGCTCCAAGAGTCAGTCGTTTCCGTTGTTCTTCAAGCAAACGCTTAGGTTTCACGCTTCGTTACCTCGTTGATTTCAATAACTCGACAACTTTCTTTCACTATCTAGCTTACACTGGAACAACGTGGTGCTATAGATCTGTTGTATAACCAAACCTCATTACAGTTCGTTACGTTACGCTGCGTTATGCTATTGACATTGTGTACAGCTTGTTTACCATGCAGTCCTTTTTATACGTAATAAATAAATAAGTAAGTAAGTAAGTAAGTGAGTAAGTGAGTAAGTAAGTAAATAAATAAATAAGAATAAGTAAGTAACTAAGTAAGTATACAAGTAAGTAAACAAGCGTAAGTAATAAGTGATACTCCTCGAGATATTGGAAAGTTAGTTTTGTTATTTTCTCTGAAAAATTGACACTAACGCGAATTATAGATGACGTTGTTTTACAAAAAAGAAATCGACGTTGTTCCAATGTGACAGATGGCCAATTAGCAGCGCACTGTCTATGCATACTTAGCCTAGCCATATAACACACGCACCACGACACAAGTTTCCACGACTTCGTGTGGTCAAAACGCTCGGTTAAAAGCAATCTTTAGACACAGGAAAATTTAATCGTAACTTCCCCAGTGTTTAACACGAGCACGAGGCACGTTGAAAGAACCAACCTTTAGCTCCCTTAGAGCAACGTAATTTATTCCTCTCGCGAAACACAACAGAAAATTGAAGCTCAAAAATCTAAAAAGAAAAAAGAAAAAAAAAAGAAAGAAAGAACAGAATTGAAGGAGACGCGCATTCTTGGTTGACTGTGTTAATCAAACAGAAACTGAATAAATATTTGACAATTAAATTAAATTAAACGAGGAAGCTTGTTATCGCAAGTAAAAAAAGAAGGGAGAAAATAGAAAAAAAAAGGGAGAAACATCGGAATCTCGTTAACGGATAGTCACGCAGACGGGTTTTGTTAAACGTATAGTAAAACGAAAACGAGAAAAAAGAAAACAAAACGAAAAAAAAAAACTATAGCACGTTTTTGGCCATTGGCATCGACGCGACAACCAATCATGTTATCTTTTAAATACTATTATAACGGTTACGAAATGATAATTAAAAAAAAAAAAAAAACGTTGTTAATGATGTTAAAGGAACGATTTAAAACGAAAAATAATAATAATAATAATAATAATACGTAGAGGATATAAACTATAATCGATCACGCTTCGATTGGTGGAATAACCATTCTCGATCTTTTAAATCAACTAACTAATTAAACTAATGAATTTAAATTTAAAGCACTTAATGGTTCGCGCCGGAGGGTTTCGTTAGAATACAATATTACGTAGGGAAGACAAAAAGAAACATGTTATAAAAAGAAAAAAAAGACACAGGTTATTTCAAGTGAGTGTCGTTAGCGAAGCAAAAGAATCGCGGAAAAGATGGCATTAACAATCGGAGTTCGGCATGTAAATGCAAACGATGTCGATTTGAACTGAAAAAAATATGAAACGAAATAAAAAATAAACAAAAATAAACAAAAACGAAATAAATACAAACAAAAAAAAAAAAAGAAAGAAAGAAAGAAAGAATGGAAGAAAAGAACAGAAAAGAAGAAAACGTAATAATAACGACCGATACGATAAACTATCTTGTTTAAATACGCCACGGATACGGAAACGATGATTTCGTTTCGCGATGGAAGAATCCTCCCTCCAACAGCGTTTCCTTTTTCTTAGCGACAATTGCAAAATCAAAGGATGCCCAATCGCTGAACGAAACGCGACCGTCCGTGGTTGTTAATTCCTGTTTCTTTTCCGCAACCACGTTTGCTGTAGTTCAAGTTGGTGGAAAGAGTCGCATGGCGACAACTTATCGTTAAAACGCGACCGATTCGAGCCAGTTCGTCGGCCAATTTGACTGGCCTTTTCGAAGCAACATTCGAGAATTCATCTTCAACGCCGTGTATATCGAGATCATTCAATTCGAAACCTATATCCAGCGTCTAGAAATCGATATCGACAGCGTCAGATTGTACTTGAAAATACAAAAGAATTGATTCCCATAGCTTTTTTGGTCAAACGCCAGTTCCGAGTTCGGAGATTATTGTAACTTTGTCAGTTATAGCGTGTAACGAGATTTTTGTCGAGCAAATTGTTTCCGCGCAGCGACGGGGCTGAAATTACTATTAAAAAAANAAAAAAAAAAAAAAAAAAAAAAAAAAAAAAGAACTGCGTAGGAGGAAAGAGCATTATCCGTTTTATAATTAAAATTATAATTTGTTTTACGAGCGTTAACATCAAAGTTTATGCGTGGACGTGTACCATTTATAGCCAGCTGGGAAAGCTGCCGTAAAAATTGGTTGAAAATGAAGCAATTCAGCGGACAATATCGTTGGATAAGTTAATCAAATTGGCCTGCGAACGGATCGGATTCGTTTCACGTCGCGAGCCGCGTCGAACGACGCTTCCACTTTTAATCGTATTTAAACGCGTTAACGTTAAGCGAGCAAACGCTGATTGTTAACGGAGAATTAACATCCAGCCTCTCGATATTACTCGTTATTGATTAGTTCTTACGCGAGCGTGAAAAAAAAAGAAGAAGAAGAAGAAGAAGAAGAAGAAATAATAATTATAATGATAAAACTATTCGGGAATATAATCGTATAACGTAATAGACACGCCGAATTCGTCGCGTGCTGCGAAATCTTGCGATTAGTTAGTTAGATTATTTAATCTAACGGGCGACTGGTGGTCGATACCAAAAGAGAGGAAGAAGGAAATGTTATAATACGTGTGTGTACGTAGACTTTCTCGCGGAGGAGAACGGCTGAGAAGAAGGGGGGAGGGAACGCAGCCCGCATTTAAAAGAAGTTGCAACGTTCTAGCGAAGAGAAGTAAAAAAAAATAAAATAAAATAAAATAAAATAATTTAAAAATTAAAAGCGATAATTGCTGTTCGATAATTAAGAATTACTTGTTCTGTGAAAAAGAAAAAAAAAATTTACTTGTTATCACATATCGAAGTTAAGTTGGAATTCGAAACCGAGTTGCTCACTGAACAAAAAAAATAAAAAAAAAAAAAAATAAAAAAAAGAAATAAAAAAAAAGAAAAGAAGAGAGGAGAAAACGAAGAAAAAAATAATTAAATGATCCAAAGAGATATACCGAAGAAAAAAAAAAGACGAGAGTGAAAAATAACGAGGAGAAGAAGTATAAACTAAATTCGTTGCTCACGGATGCTCATTTATTGTTTTTATCCAGCGCGGTCCTAACGTTTACGAGACGTCGTAGGCCGGATGCTTAGTGAGAGTAATTAATGTTCGAGTGTACTACTTTCAACTATCACGCTCAACGTTCAAGCATTTAAGCTGTTCACGAGATTCAGGGTCTTAGAGATTAATTACACACAAAAAAACGGTAGAGAAATTATCGAATCGTTAAAAACTAAAAATGAAACAAAACAAACAAAAAAGGAAAAAAAAAAGAAAAGTAACCAAAGAAACGAAAAATTAAGCTAATTCGAATTACAAAGAGAATAAAACAGTAGTAGAGATAAATAGATGTGCAGACATCGGGAAAAGGGAGTGTTTTCGTTCACGTTTCGGGGATCTTTTCGTTTCGATCGTTCTGTTTCGAGGGAAATACAGGAGAAAGAGTACAGAGTATAAGAAAAAAGAAAAAAAAAACGATAAAAATAAGGAAGAAAGATAAAATGATATTTAAGTTCAGACGGATTGTGACGACCCGGTTTTTTCTTCTTCTTTCTATGATAATCGTGTCAATGATTATACCACACGTATCACAGAGTGATTTTAATTGCACGTGCTGCCGAAATGTTTCCACTTTCTTCAACTCGATGAAAGAAAACGAAAGAGAGATAGAGAGAGAGAGAGAGAGATTTTTTCAGAGGAAAAGAATATATCGCGCGACATAAATGTCGAACGCGAGTAAAACCCAAGTACACTTTTACGCGCGTGATCGAGCGATGTCACGGCTATATAAAAAAAAGCGGTTCGTCGTGCTTTTTGAAAAGTCGCTCTTAAAGCCAGACTAGAATCCTGTCTTAAATTTCTGACGAGCATTTTCCCTGATTGAAGTAATACATTTTCTTCCACCTTTGTCCGTTGCGTTCGAAAGATTTCTCTGAATGAATTCAAAGAAAATATCTTCTCCTTCAAGTTTATTCTCGATTCCCTTTAGGAGGGAAAATTTATTCTACTTCATTCTCAAGTTGTTTTTCAAAAGTTTCCCAAAAGTAGAATGAAACGTCAACTTTTCGTCGGCAAGCAATCTGTTTTTTTTTTTTTTTTGGCGAAACAAGTTACGCGATATTTGAAACAATGACATCCTCGTACGTTTGAAAATGATAGGCTTGCAACGAGCCGGGTTTCTGTTTCGAAAATGAATCGAGAAATAGAAGGAGAAAGCAGGGGAGGGAAGGGGGTAAAGGAGGGTAAACGAAAGAAGCGAAATTTACAGAGAAATAACGCAATTTGCGCCTTCTAATTAGAAAAAAAAGAAGAAAGAAGAAAATATATTATATATATACATATATATATATATTATATATCCATACATACCTACATGTTAAACTCAGCTTGTCACACGCGGGTTTGTCATTATAAACTATTAATCTTATAATAATGAAAATTAATAATAACGGTAAAATCACTGGGGTGAAGGGGAGAAACAATGATAATATTAATAATAATAACGTTAGTACTAACACCATTAATACTGGTAACAATAATAATTATAATATATATAAATAAATGATAGCGTAATGGTAACGTATATTAATTCTCCGCCTGTACGAAATGTTGAAGATTTTTTTCTTTCTACGACGTTATTAACGCGTAACTAAGACGACTTCTATGAAGAATCGTTTCCAGTGACGAACAAAACAGAAAAAAAGGGAAAAACTAAAAAATTAAAAAAATGGAGATATTATATATGGTTAACAAGAAATTTAAAGAAAATAAAAAATGCATTAAAGGTTGGTACGCTATTAGAATCATAGTAGCGCATATGTACAGGGTGATGCGATTAACATGTATTCGGACTTTGATACGGCGTGCGATTTTTCGAGTGTCTTCGGGTATATGCGAATGATGCAGTTGAGAATTAAAAAAAAAAGAAAAAAAAAAGAAGAAGAAGAAAGAAACAAATATCTCGAGATAAAAAAAAAAAAAACGAAAAAAAGTAAACGTAGAGTACGAAACGGTACGATGTTAAATTTAGAAAGGGGCTAACCTTCGTCGATCGTTTTTGCGCCTTTTCTTTTCAACAATAAATTACGATAGCAATATAAAATTCGGCGCGATGTAAAAGACTTGTTTCAAAGCTAACATATTATTGGTTGTTATAATGCAGATTAGACTGAACGAACTTGGCTCTTGGTAATTAAATCAGACCGAATTCGATTCGATTGGAATCTTTGGATTGGCTGATGAAGGATCGATTTCTACGTTGCTTTGAGGTTAAAGAGGGAAACGTCACCTCCACGTTGTGAAAGTTTCTTCCAAGATCCAAGTACGTATATTCCTGCGTCAACGTTGCCTTAACCACGAAAAAAGAAAAAAAAAAAAACCTTTGAAAGATGAACTCGATCGTCTGAAAGAAACGCCGCTTTCCGAACAATGGTTCAATTACAGTCAACACTCGAAACGTCAGTTAGACGTCGGATGCAAGTTTCGTCGACGAGCAGCCCCTTTCGGATCGTTTTACTTGGAAAATAAGAAAAAAAAAAAAAATGGGAGGGGGGAGGGGAGAGAAACGGGGAGATGAAAGAAAAGAAATGAAAATCGAAAAGGGAGCGAGAAGTCAGTTTCATCGGCCATGGGAGACCTTCCCTCCCCTCCGTACGTTGTAGTCTTTTACTCGACTCGATTTAATTAAATCCAAGCATTTTAAGGAACTTATTAAGGTAACCGATTAGAAATAAAACTGACAAGATTGCTCATCGAGACACCGTGTCGTTTATGTGTCACAAAGACAATCCCCTCGGAACTTCAAAAGCGGACGACGAAAATTGTTGAGAAGTTTGTTGAGAAAAAAAAAAAAGAAAAAAAGAAAAACGAACATTTTTCTTCCCTCTCGATGTATAATATACTACCTCTACTAACACTACGATAACCGAGATATCGATAACTGTTTTTAGATAAAATTAAAGAAATAAAAGAGAGAGAGAGAGAGAGAGAGAGATCTTAATCGTTGCGAACGGCGCGAGAGAAACGCCGATTTACTTAGCCAAGATAAAACGAGAGAGAGAGAGAGAGAGAGAGAGAGAGAAGAAAAAAAAGATAAAAGATGACGACTGTAGTCTGAGCGTAATTTTAACGTGTAAGGTCTATTATACTAATAGCACGTCAAAGTCTTCCGCAATTAGTCTCCAAACAAGTAGTTACAAGACACACGAGAAAAACGATGATGCCAAGGCGCGCCAGACGACATCATTTTTCTTTTTGCATCACTTTGTCTCCTTCTTTCCTCCTTTTCTCCTCTTTTTCTACGATCAACGACGTTCGCTACCAACCAACTGTCGTTCCTCGTCTCAAGAAAGATGTCTGGTGATAGATGTTCGAAACGTACTCACGTCGAATGTCGCTCCTGAATGCAAAGCGCCCCTCTGACGCCCCTCGGTTCCCTCGAACGATTATTAAAACGGAGTCCAGGGTTTCATCGATCGGCCGATTGTGATTTAATTAAGGGAAACTTAATGAAACGATGGTTTCTCTCGATGGAAGAGTGGCGTGCAACTCTTTCCCTTACATTCGAGCACGAAACTGTGAAAGTACTGTGATTGACGGAGAATCAAAATTGCATTTGTCGAGTTTAAGAGACGCTCGTGTGATTCATTTTTGTACTGAAAATAAGAGAGAGAGAGAGAGAGAGAGACGTCGTTGCAACAAGAAGAAAGAGAGAGAGAGAGAGAGAGAGAGAAAGAGAGAAACGAAACGAAGAAAAAGAAGAAAACGAAGAGAAGAAATCAGAAAACGTTGTCGAAGAAACGTCAAAACGAAATTCTCAGCGATCCTTGTCAAATAAAATTGTGAAACGCGCTTCGTCGTCGTAGATTCCATTACGCTTTGTAAGTAGAAAACGCTTAGAGAGCGAAGAGAGGTGTGTATATTACGCTTTGTAATTACTAATTAAACGAATCATTTCCCGACGCGTTCGTCGCGTTTGTTGCAAACGAAGACACTCGAAAGATCGACGGCTCTTTGTCCCATTTTAACTAGAGGCCGCTCTTTATATGCGTAAAAAGAAAGAAAAAAAGAAAAAAACGAAAAAAAAAAAAAAAACAAGTATACAGCAGGTCAGCCGAAATGAACTATGAACGAAACGAAGAATAACGTTGCGGCGTTGCGCGCTCTCTCGCGCGTGGAGAACGCGCCGTAATTACGAGAAACGCGAAAAGGAGGAGGGTGAAAAATGCGAAACGCAGTCAGCGATTTTCTCGTTTCTGGAACAAAGCGATTGCATTCAACGTCTAGCTGCCGCACTATTCAATCCGAATGGCGTAATTAAGCGAGCCATTTATCGAAACAGGATTTTTCGTACCTCCCCCCACGCGGAACGAAAACGTTTCTCATTACGTTTCGTGAAAAAAAAAAAAAAAATAATACAGAAGCCGCTGTACTTGCTGAACAACGCTTTCATACGTTCAACAATTCTTGTACCTTCTTCTACAAACATATGCGAAGCCTCGTTATTTCTAAACGTGTGCAATTCTCTCTCTCGATTCCGTTTGTTGTCTGCAAACTCGATCTTTGTTTTCTTTCTTTTTTTTTTTTTTTTTCCTTTTTATTTTGTACTTCCGAGAAACGTGTGACAAGCGATCGAAGCCAGCTGAAATTGGCTACGTCGGTACGATTCGAAGAAGAATTTTGTTAAAAAATCTGTTTCCATCATCGGTCGACAGTCGAAAAATCGAGAATTATATTTAAGAATTGTACTCGTTGCCGAGAAATCGGCACCATTCGACCTGCCATTTCGGCTGAACCTCGTGTATACGTATGCAAACGTATAAGCATGTACACGCGACGCATATGTACGTACGTATACTCTCTACAGAGACGCGTATTGCGAGGAAGGTGAGAATGAGAATCGCGGCGAAACGTGTCGATCGAGCGGAAGTCGACGAGAGGCAACGAGCGGAGAAAGATAAAACGCGGATGTAAAAGCTGAACGAACGTTGAATTGTAGTCTCACGTTGTTGCTACTCGTGTCAGCGAAACGATAATCCATGCCGATTTTTCGCGTCGCGCTCGACGTCGTTCGAGGACGACGATGGTTCGATCTCTTCCAGAGGTCAGACGCGTGTAACATATGTATGTACTTGCTATTCCGCGCTCGTGTTCTCAAACTCGAGCTGGATGGAAACATTCAGGAATCGTCGCGTAAAATCTGTGGTCACGTCTTTTCGCTGGAATCGATCGACCTCTTGCCTTTTTCCTTTTTCTCTCTCTCTCTCTTTTTGATTCCGTACTCGTTCACGCGACGCTCTAGGTAAAACCTGCGTGCCTGCGTTTCAGAAAACAGACTATCGAGCATTCTCGGAGACGAAACTTTTTCGAAAATCGTTGCTTGCTCTACGGTACTCTGTTATTTCGCGTGTCGGTGGTGCAGGGTTTGATCGGTTCCTGGATCGTCGAAACGTGACCATCGAGAAAAGGGAGAAAGGAAAAGAAAAGAAAAGAAAAGAAAGGGAGATCGATGACGATTGTGTTGTTACCGATGAGACGTGAAACACGTGGCGTGGAAGAGTTTTCTTTTTTCGCGACTCACTGCCACGGACTTGCTTCATGGCAGCGTGAATTATTATTCAGAATTAGGATAAACGATTAGCGCGGACACGCAATGTTCAAGTGCCAAATTTTTAGCTATCTTTAACATGTAATATATCGCGCCTGTCGTACTTAACAGACGCTTAATTTGCGAGAGAGAGAGAGAGAGAGAGAGAATGAGAGAAAGAGAAAATGAGAGAGAATGAGAGAAAACGCGGATAATGGAAAGAGAGAGAGAGAGAGAATATTTCACGAAAGAGAGAGACTGTTCACACTAGCGAAGTTTAGAGGGATTTGTACAGAATAGATCAAGACTGTTCAAGCAATTCATTGTAAAACAATTGGGACGTTTGGTGGTCGAATCTCGGTATGCTTAATGATTTCAAGGATTGAAATATCCCCGTCACATTTATAAACGTCATACCCAAACGTCACTTTTATTTAGAGTTCTGTTTTAAAAGTGGCGAAGCCATGGAAAGTAAGGATGTTGCTTGTATCGATTTCGAGTTGAAAAATCTCCGTTTCCTTTTTTTTTTTTTTTTATTCGAGAAAAGTGTTCGACAACTGCTCGAATATCCTTGCGAACGTTTTTTGAGGCCACCGCGGAGTTTACGTGTGATTTAACCTTACGTTTAAAAGTTGGATTGAGATTTTTGCAGTCCGTCTTGATTTTCCGGTGGGAAGAGTCACCGAGCGATACTCCCGATACAACAAACAGAGACAGGGAAAGCAGAAACGAGTGAAGAATAAAGAAAGAAACGAAGAAGGGGAATAAATGAAGAAAAGTCACAGCCAGCTGAATTTAAAGTGAAGAACTTTCACGGGGAAGAGACGTTTCGCAGTACTGCCGCGGGAAGCAACAGCGGCTGGCAAAGTGTTTAAAGTCGACTCTCGAATCAATTTTCGATCAGGCAACTTTCGCGTTCTTCGTTCCGAGGAAATCGGGACGATCGGCTTCGAAAAATTCTCACGCTCTCTCGTTGCCGAAAGAAGAGACGAAGAAACGAAAAGGAAGAAAAGACGACGAAAGTCATCCACGTTGGGAGAAAAGTGACGAAGAAGAGGAAAGAGGGTGAATACGAACGACGAATGGGGAGCGAGATCTGAATAAAAGGAGGAGGGGGAAAAAAGAGGAAAAATTAAACGTGCCCTATTAAAAAAAAAAGGAAGAAAGCATAATCTCTGCGCGCGTTAAAAAAAAAAAAAGGTATTTATTGAACGCCAAATATATTCGTAATACCAACATCGAGAGGAACTAAATAACATCTAAACGAAATCAGTAACGAAGTAAATAAACTGAATATTAAACGCTAGCTTGTAATCGATAGAGAACGTAGTGATGTTACTCGGAACAGTAAATTATAGAGGGTGATCCGAAAGAGATAGTCTGCTAGATGTGTTAGGCTCGAACATTTTATCGAGGTCGATTTCTCTCTAAACGAACTAAGAAAGAAGCTAAACGTCTAACTGTCTCGGGATGATTTGTTCAGTTTAACGAAGCTGAAAGGAAAGTAGCGAAAAGAAAGGTAAACATTGACGTAGTTGAAGGACTTGATCAGAATTTGAACTCGAGTCGAATGTAGGAGGAGAAGGGGATGTTTATCGGATAGAAGGGTGGAGATTGGGGTGGGAGGGAGGGGGGTTTGAAAAATGACCAGTGTATAAAAAGAGAAAAGTCGTCGTTGACGAAACGATGGCAGAGATCGATGAGACATGAACGCACGAGGTCTATTTCTTCTCTACCTACACCCTTTTCTTCCCTAATGATATATTTTAACAATGGATCGTCTCTTTATTGTCCACCGTTACACCAGTCGTCGAAGTCGTTGCGAAGTTAATGGACAGAAATGAAAAGGAAAAAAAAAAAGCAGAAAAGAACTTCACGCGAGTCTTCACGAACGATGAGATAACACAGAAATAACATTTCGAGCCTGTGAATGCGTGAGAGGGAGAGAAAGTTGACTAGGAGGAGAGAAAGAAGAAGGAACGGAGAAGATAGAGAAAATATGTGTATGAGTGTGTGCGTGCGTGCGTGTGTATGTGTGACGGAAAGAGAGAGAGACTGGGATTGGTGGGAGGGGAGAGGGGGAGAGAAAGAGCGAACGGAAGATAAATGAGATATAAAATTTACGTTAGCCGCGCAAATACCTATTATTATATCGGGGGAAAGAGAGAACAAAATATTACACGTAAAATAAATAAAAAAAAAAAAAACAGAAAAAATAGGAGAAAGAGAGAGATAAAGAGAAAAAAAAAAAATGAAAACGATACTCCCTTTTCCGTAGACCCTGGTGGGACGATGCAATTGAACTGACTCACCCTCGATCTCACTTGACTTTTAATTATGCCTCGACAACAGCCTGGCCTGATAATAGTAATTCATATTGAAGAAGGTTAAGTAAGATAATAATAATAATATTAATAATAATAATAATAATAACAACATTAATAATAATAATAAATGATATTAATACTAATAATAATAAGAGTAAGTATAATAATAACAATAGTACTAATACTAATAATAATAATAAAAAAAATTTGTTATATTTCTACGCTGGGCTCTTTTTCGAGGCAGAAACGTTGATCGATATAAAAATCCCTGTTAACTGGTGAGCACATAATCGCCGCATTGTAATATTATTAACATTATTACGTTATTATGAAATTGTTGAAATAAATGAAATGAATATAAACGTCTTCCATTTACTTCTTCGTCACTTTCATTATCCGCAGCCATTCTTACGGGGATAGGAAAAATGAATATTTTCCAATCATTTAATAACGTTTGTTTCACCGCGAAAACGAGTCATTGTTGGTGAGAAATTAATTTCAATTAGTTTCACGTGAATATATATATTCGTAGGAATGACGGACTAAAGGAAATAATTAGATCGTTACTCTTTCTAGAACAAAACGGACAAAAGATCCAACCGTGTTTCTTCACGTAGAATTCAATACGTAATTTATCTTCTTCAAAACATCCAATTAGTAATTCATGAACGCAAAGTATAATTACTATACTTGTGCAACAACGAATGCATCTATCATTTATGCACTTGTTTCTACATTTATCTATTTAATCACTGCGATGACCATCTCATAGATATTGTCTTTAAATAAGTGAATACAGTTTTAAAAAGGTACTACAATTTTTATAAAACATTTTTAAAATTGCCGCTGACGGGTGAATTATCAACACCGTGAAAATGCCAAAAAAACACAATTTTAGTTCGTCTTGGTATACAGGAAGAAAGTTTGGAGTCTGAAAACGAAGACACGACTGCGAGAGTTTATAAATTAATCCTGTTAATTGCTTTTTTTCGTAAATGAAAATTTATTCAATTTACGGACATTGAAATGCTAGCGTCGCGTAGCGGCGAAACGATGGAACTAAAATCTATCGTTGTCCTTGTCGTACACTAGTGCGCTCCTTGTCTGTCGCATTGTATAAGTCTGTCTTTGTCGCACAGTGTTGCTTTCCTTATCTTTGAACACGTGCTGCCATCTGTCGGATTTTTCCAGTTTGCCCTTTTAGTTCCAGTCGAAAATGAAAGTACTCAGATGGCAGCACCATCCCTAGACAAGGAGCGCACCAGTGTGCGACAAGGACAGACTTATCCAATGCGACAGACAAGGAGCGCACTAGTGTGCGACAAGGACAACGATAGATTTTAGTTCCACCGTTTCACCGCTACGCGACGCTAGCATTTCAGTGTCCATAAACTGAATAAATATTCATTTACGAAAAAAAGCAATTAACAGGATTAATTTATAAACTTTTGAGATTGCATTCTCATTTTTAGACTTTAAACTCTCTTTCGACGTTCCATACGATCCGTATAACGCACGAATAAAGATTTGAAATTTTTACCCATAGATCGAAGTACGGGCCGAAGTAATGTTCAATCTCTGGTTAATTAAAACTTAAGAATTGAATTGAAATTGAGTGTACGTTTATTTATTCGGTTAATTGTTAACAAGAGAACTCGTTGAAAATTAAAAAAAAAGAAAAAGAAAAAAAAAGGGACAAAGTCGCGTCTTTCGCAGGGACCATAATCCATCATTCGTCGGCGGTAATTTTAAAAATATTTTATAAAGAGTATAAAAATTGTAGTACATTTTTTTTTTTTTCTTTTTGCGACTGCGTCCAAGATGGCAATACATTCGTCAAATGAGTGGACAGGTAGATGAATAAATAGATGGACGAGTGGACGGAAAATTAGAAGCGAGTCGGGTGATTTTGAGAAATGCAGGGCGCGAAGAGGCACGCATTCGTTTGCGTTTGTCTGTTTTGAAATGGAAGGAAATGAGTGAAAGATTTGTTCAATCATTTATTAATTAGCGCTATCTATCTACGCCCGAGTTTGTGCGATAGATTCCAATAGGTTCATTTGATTGTTATAACGCCGATAAAATGATTTCACCTGTTCAATCTCAACGACAACTAGGCTACGGCTCTAAGTGAGATAAGCTTGAAATTGCTGCACGTGAGAATCAATGAGAGAGTTTACAATTTCACGCATCGTGATTGCATCTACTCGTATGTTACTCGTCGTTAAAAAAGAATTCCCTTGATTCGTTTAATCAACGATTTATTAAACGAACATCTATCTACGTCGACTGAAAATCGCTTTGATTTAACGCGAATTCGCAGTGTTCATATACCTACGTTAACAAATGTGTTACGTATTACGTAATCGTTACGTGTTGCGAGATAAAAATTTTGCTGAAAAATATTTAATCCATGGTACAAACGTTTAAAGAATAACATTATCGTAATAAATTCTCGAGTATACCTATACGCGTGAAAATTAACCCCAGAATATCTAACGTCATCAGATACATGTTTCCTTCTGTTATTAGACGCATTTATTGTTACTCGTAATAATTATAAACGTATATGCATGTGTGTATGTATGTATATATATATATATATATCCACAATAGTCGCTACATTGTTAAAACTTAACGGATATTATCCTCGAGAGAGATTACCATCTAGAAAAATGTTCACAAATAAAGGAACGTGAAAAGTAAGACGCGGATACAGCTTACCTATATAGATACCAATATTCTAGGGTTAATCGAAGATGTCAGGTGTCAAAGTATTCTAGATTCCATTCCTGTTTAAATTTTGATTTGCATTCGTAATTAAGTTAACAACAAGGTTGTCCGCGAGCAAAAACGAAATCGCGAAAGAGAGCCACCGTCGGACCGATGACCGCTATTTTAAAACTGACATCTTCAATTGAGCGCACGTGGCTCGTAAAATCGTCGTTAAAATCGTCTCATTGTGATTCTCATACACAGACACGCATTCCCCGCATTCTCGAGTGAAACAACGCTATAAAATATATGGAAGTAAAATGTATAGAAATCAATAAGCACATCGTTCTAATTACTTCGTTCTCGGGAAGGCTAAATTCTAGTTATTGTATCTCGTTCAAGGAAGACACGTGTATCCCCTATGTCAACTCGTTACTCTAAATCGCGAGCGAGTTACTCGTACACCGATGGTTTCCATACAAGCGTCGAGGACAAACGAATCACAAACGTTCAACGATGAATTTTGCTTTAAAACGTGGACAATATATAAGGTAGGTAGGATTTTCACGCTCGACCCGGACCTCGAACAGTTCAAAGTTGAAGATTTTTCGCGGACGTGGGTCACCTACATGTACGTCCTCTTTGGTGAAATTTGTCAGCAAGGTCCAGGTCGTTGGAAGTTGATTTACGTTTCTCTCCTCTCGCCCTTGCGTATAAAATTACCAAAAGGACATGCAATTATCTCGAAATGTTTATCATCGATCGCGATACGTGGAAATGAAAACTTTGTTCTTCTTCTTCTTTTTCTTTCTCTCGAAATAAATCGACTTTGATCGTGGGTGGCTTAACAAGACTGATCGGTGGCGTGTTGACAAGAAAATCGAAATCGTTGACAAGAAAAAAACGAAAATCGTATACATATTATGTACAGTAACATCACATACAACAATTGGGATGATTCGCGAGGCACAACTGTAGGCGATACATATGAGAAAAATCAACGATCGTTAAATCGACAACTATAAGTAAACACTCTCCGTGTATGGGGCAAACTTTCTATTAGAGAGAACATGACCGTTTTAACAATCTTCTGTACAATATACATGTAGCGTGGGTAATTCATATTCTTCGTGTATCTCGCGTACGGTACAATATTTTTTTTTACTTTTTTGCTTTTCTCTTTTTTTTTTTTTTTTTTTTTTTTTTTTTTTTGTTATCAATAACGAGTTTAAGTACGCGAGGCCGGGACGTTGTGCTTCTAATGTGCGCTTTCGCGGTTATACTTCTCTTTCCTCGCTATTGTTTCCCGTTTCTTCCTTTTTTTTTTTTTTTCTTTTTCAACTGCTGCAGAATTTCTGCGTGAACAGAGCAGCTTCATGGGTTTTTTCTTTTTTCTTTTTTTTTTGTCTAAAAGCTGGGAAATTTGGGAAAAGCTTGAGCGTTCGTCACACGTCGAACGATTGAGATTTGAACGTTTGTGGAAATGAAACTCGACAGATTCGCGCCCGTTTCCCGGTAATTACATAATTCAACGGTTACTCCGTTTGCGAGTTTTACTCTTGCATCGAGTGTAATTCGAAAATTTGACAGTGCACGGCGCAACTTTTCCCAAATTTGCTCACGGCCAGTAGAAAAGACCGGCTGGTGAACGTGGTCACGGCCCGTTCGATGTTCTGCATCGCGATGATCCGTCAAACACGAGTTTCGCTAGATTATAATATAATGGCAACGGTAATTCGCACGATTAATATCAAAATTATTTGATGTCTACGCTCTATGCTTATCCTTAATTATCCCGGTCAACCAATTGCTCATCTAACTGTAAGACGCATGGTCAATGGGACGTTGGTTTTTAACATTATGTTCGCAATCGCTTCTGCATACTCGTGACCAAGGTTCTCGAGGAAGACAATTATAATGGATGCACTTATCGTTAATATCGAGAATCATCGAATCCGTGGTTTATAAAGTGTCGGCACTTGGACGCAAGTGACAAGCGGCAAACACTCACTGGCGAGCGAAGGAGAGTCGGAATTCAAATGAAATAAAACTGAACTCGCGGCGCGGTGTACAAACGGGATCTATCTGTACGACGAGTGCAGTTCAATGATCTTGACGTTAATTTCACGAGTACGATCTTTGAAACCTCCTTCCTCGGTATAAAAAGAAGATGAAAGAGCGAGAGATCGTTGAGCGAGAGACCAACGAGCGTTTGTTGCTCTTGTTTCAATTGCTCACAATATTCAATCGATCTTTTTCAAAAAGTTTCTACGAAACAGGAAGATGGAGAAGAAAAGGAAACGAAGAGATCAACGTTCTCGTACTGTGACTTTGAGAAAAAAAACGAGGAAGTAAGTTAAAGTTAAAGACAGAAGACGCGAGAAGAAGACGATTAACTCTTGTCTTGGTGCGGCGGTCGATTCGATCACATGTAAAAATACACGTAAAGAGTACTCTTTCGTACAAAGGAGAGGAATCGAACGCAGACGAACGAGAGACGAAAGTGAAACGGAAATGATCGCGACGACGGCACGCCGCTTCTTCTTCTTTGATCTGGAATTACTTCCCACGGTAGATCTCTATGATGTGATCCTGGTCCACGTACTCGAAGATGTGTGGTGCGTCCATGAGGATCCCGATGGTGCCTGCGGACGTCACGAGGAAGAAAATGTAGAGCTGCAGCCGATCGATCACCATCGCCACGTACTTCCAATCCTCTCGCGTCTGAAACACACGTGGAACATGCGAACATGCGTCAATCTCGCACGAACGTAAATCTCGTAAAAATTGCACGACTCGAGCAGCAGCCCTGTGTACCTGTATGTACAAATCTTCGTTTCTCAAGTGTTCGGCGATGAATTCGACGGCCTCTGTCGCTTTGCTAGCTTCCGGGCTGAGCAGCACGGAGTCTGAACTCTCGGATCCTCTTCTGTCGGCCAGACCCTCGCCACCAGCGGCGCTGGAGCTGCTAGTGGTGTGGTGAACCTTTCTGTTGATCTTGCAGTTCGGATGATGAAGATCCGACAGCTCCATCACTTCCATCTTCGACTTGGTCAACGAGGCTGGCAAATGTTTCGGCAACTCTGTCGGGCTCCCGGAATAGGTGGACGTCGGCAGCGTGACGTTTGGGATCTCCATCATCCACCTGAGCCGCGTTTTCTTCGGTCGCCTCATCAGCAGGATCGTCGGCAGATACTTGAGGAATATTTTCCTGATCAGCTGCGGCATTCTGTGCGTCCTCGGCCCGCGGAAGTTCCAGTTGATGATGATCACGGTGACGAGGATACTGACCGTGTTCATGATGAAGGTGAACAGGAGATATTTGGCGATCAGCGGAAGCACCAGGGACGTCGGTGGCAGAATCTTGCTGACCAGTAGCAGAAACACGACCAACGAGAGCAGAATGCTGATTCCCAGAGTCACTTTCTCGCCAGCCTCGGCCGGAAGGTAGAACACCAGCACGCAGAGAAAGGAGATGAGCACGGTCGGTAGAATGAGATTCACCGTGTAGAACAGAGTTTTCCGTCTGATGATGATGTAGAACGTGATGTCCGTCTCCGTTGGATAAAGGCTCTTGTAGGTGTTGAGGTAAGCCGGTACGCTGATGATGTCCCAGGTCCCGCTCTTCCAATAATCGGACAAATCGACGAAATTCTTATTGTTGTACAGGGCTAGAGAGACCTGGTCGCCGTTGAACGTCCACGAACCGAACTTCATGATGCAGGTTTGCTGATCGAATGGGAAATACGTCACGTCGATGGTGCAGGAACTCTGGTAAATCGCTGGCGGTACCCACAGGACGTCGCCGTTCGGATAGATGAGGACGTTGCTCTTGTAACGTACCTCGTAGTTGCCGTCGGCGCTGCGAAATTTGAAAGGTTCGACGAAAGGTTCGATGAAACTGAGATTGAGCGATGAAAGGGATACGCGTACACGTCGAGGATTGAAGCGCTTACGTACTTGTTGAACAATACGATATCTGGTTTCCACACCTTGTCAGGTGGCAGTCTGAGAACTCCGATACCACCGTAGTCCGCCTCGTCCCATTGCAGCTGATAATCCGTCCAAATGAATCTCAACCATACGTTCGACTTCATAATTTGGTTCTTCTCGTTCTGAAAAATAAAATCAAAATAACTCGCACACGTTCGAACATGGGAAAGTTATTGACATTTATTCATTTTTTTCATTCGCGACGAATGATCTTGGATATTATTCGTTATTCACGGATTAGAGAAAAATTCTTATTTATTATGTGGCAATTGTATATTTAAACCGACGCGGCCACTCCACTCACAGCAACATTGTCAAAGTACATGTATGAAAAATCCTCTCACCACGTTGATCAGTTGCACGAAGGCAAGACCGAAATTCACGTGCACTTTCTCCGTCATATTCTGCACGGGCCTGATGAGTTTGTTGTACCCTCGGAACAGGTCTCGCACCAGCCTCTCCTCATCTTCGGAACAGAGACCTGAGAAACGACTCGAAGACGATTAACGCCCAATTCAACGCCCTATTGGAACACGCGGAACGTTGCCTCGATACATGGGCAACGACGTGCCGATCGGCTGGCCGGGCTAATTGATCGCTTACCAACGCAAAAAACAGCGGAGACGAGGAGGAGACGCGCGAGCCGCAAAGAAAAATGCATTTTTGGACAGGTTTCAGTTGTCCCACCCGTAGACACTGGTAGACACTCTACAGTCACCGCCGCAGATCAATATGAGCACGCAGACGCTGGCCAATAAGTGCATTTTCTCTCTTGCCGTCCGATCCATCGCCGCCTACCCTCTTCTTCCATGCTTGCAAGATTAGTCAGCGATCCTTTCTTGTCTTCTTCTTCCTCTTCTGTTTCTTTTTTTTTTCTTCTTCTTCTTCGATTCGATCTTCCTGTCTGCGACAGGGTCGACGAGAAAGCGGATATTTGAAGTTGCGAACGTGCGACTGGGGTGCGACGCGCGACGAGTTTACAGGGGGTTGTTGGGCAGGGTTGTACTCGCGAGGAGTACGTGTTTCACAGATGCGCAGTCTAGGTTGCTCGCTGGCGACGCGGATCCGAGTTCTACTTTATCGAGGGATTCCGGGGCAAGTTGGGGCGATGATCGTGAGGGTGTGTATCGGGCAAGAAATATTCGCTAGATTAAAGGAAACTCCTTGCTGTTTCGCTTCTTTTTTTCTTTCTCCTACCGCTTTGAACTTTCACTCGGCTCGAAATTGCCTTTCCAATGGCGCGAATAGCGGTTACCTTCCTTTCCTTTTTTTTTCTGTTTCGTCGGAAGCTTTCAGACAGCGCGAAGTTCCCGGCGATGAAATTTAATTTACCTGCGCTCTGTCGAGGAACGCGTACTTTATTTTTTTTTCCCCATTGATTTTGCGTTATCGACGATTCTCGCGTATAATCGCGAAAATTGGAAACTCGTTCTCCGCGTATCTTCTAGGTGAAATCAACAATCCTCAGACATCGTACATCCCTCCTTGTAAAAGCCTCGAGTCCGTCTTATCGAAACAAGGAAATATTCAATCGCCGATTTTAATACCTCTTTGTGCTCGCGAAAGAGGCTTCCGTTCGTAGCTTACTCGCCGTCCCATTGTTCGCTCTCGGATTGTACAAGCTCTCGGACTAATTACCGTGAAATTTCCCGCATTCCGCTTTTAATGTGAATCCAAAATCGACAAGGTTGCCAAATTGCGCGCTCGAAACTCTGCCAGCCAGAGATACAATTACGGGCCATTTCGAAACAACCGATCCTTTGGTAGACAGATAGAGATCAGTCGTTCGGCCAGTCGGAGGTCCCGAGTTTGCGCAATCGGAAAAGCTGTTCCCTCGATAACGGGTGAGATAAAGTAGTAAGGCTTTCTCCCGATAACGTTCTGGAACAAAGGAAATTTCAAACGATACTTTATAACGAACTGTATAATCCAAGCGCCCACTGTCTCGAGAACAATGGTAAAATTTTCAGCCAACTTTTGTCGTTTGTTAGTCTGAAATTAATCGACGAGCTTTAAGGAAATCATTGTTTCAAAATGATATGAATGTACGTGATTGAAATTATCAGCAAGACATAATTATCAACCGGTGCGAGCGGTACAGCCATGGAGACATCGGCGATCGATCGCTCGTGCCGCGATTTCATCGTCGAACGATGAATAGAAAGCGCCGTTTCTACGCTGGGCTTGCCAACCTGCACCTGCCAGAGACTCGTATCCACCGAATTCGATAACCCGTTCGTAGCGTGCATATTCAAAACGTGGAAAAATGCCGAATCCTTCTCCCTGGCCTGGCCCAATAACCGGCGCGATTCGAAATACACTCGAGACACACAAACGGGGCCGATTCCAGAAAATCGGCAATCTGGTGCGGTCGATCACGGTGTACCGTAACGTTCTCTATGTTTGTGCATCAGATCCCGTTGGCATGGCGTGGCGCATTCGGCCGGAGTTATTGTTATGTCAAACGATGCGAGTGCACCACGTATCGTTACGACTAGCCCGTTTTCAAAAAAAAAAAAAAAAGGATAAAAAAGAAATGAAAAAAAAAAAGAATTTATATATATGGAAAAGAAACACAAACGGAGACACGTACGAGGGATTTCTCGCTTGTGTCCTGGGCCAAATTATTAAAGCGGGGAGGTATGGGTCGTGCGCTGCCTTTGTCGTGGCCTTTTCGCCCCGCTTTTATATTTAAACATCCAGCCAGCATGTTCGACGTCAGATCGACCAAGCCGTAAAGTTTTACCTGCAATTTTACCCTTTTTTTTTTCAGTTGCAATTTGTAGCTGGCGTTAGTTTGTTCTTCGAGAATATACACATTGTGTACGCGTATGTACATAATAATGTCGATGTACGAACGTAACTCGACTGTGTAAGTTTGCTCTCAAACCGAAAATAACTGTTTCAAACACTTTCCCATGCTAGCCATCGACTGTGCATTACCGCAGAAGAAAAGTAAGAATCGAGCGGCTGGTCGTATAAAAACTTTTTATCGTTGTTACGCCATTTAGTATTTGCGCCATCGTGAATCTTTGCGTAGATACTGATAACATTCGCACTTGTGCCATCTGCTATTATTAATATTTTCTTGGCCACGATCCGCGACGAAATTATGTCGCGTTCTTTAACAAAAAAAAAAGAAAAAAAGAACTTGCAACTTTGATTAAAACGTTGGACTCGGATGGAAATTTATTCAGTTACAGAAAGACTAGAGCCCGTCCTAGTTTTTAAGCTTCATCGTTGTAATCTGGTCATTAGCACCGAAAAAAAAAAGAACCTTTTAAACGTTTTGACGAGTTCCAATTGTTCCGTGCGGGATTTTCTTGCGTCCTTACGTTTGCAAAGGCCGTTTAATTGGCAAAGTTTTTCACCTACAAATCACAAATTCCCATCTGGCAGGGAATTTTGTTTCGAAATTTTCTCGGTTCTTGCTCGTTAACGGCGTTCTTGCGATTCGTTCTCTCGAATAGAAAAAAATGGTACGTAAGAACATTCAAATAAGGAAAACTTTAAATCTTTAATTAACGATAGAACTGCCGGCGATTAAAACGTAAAAATTTCCATCGGGGATATTACAGTTAAAAAAAAAAAGAAAATAAAATAAAAATCTTTACGATACAATCTGAAGTACACAAGATTTCATTTATACATTTTACGAATCATTTAAGCCTCTAAAAACACACTGTTAAATAAAATATCCAATTTGATCTGTAAAATATCCAACGAAAATTACAAATTGGTCATTTTGAGCATTTTGATAGTTTCAGTCTAATCTCTAAAAACACACTGTTAAATAAAATATCCAATCTGATCTGTAAAATATCCAACGAAAATTACAAATTGGT